TATTCACAGAGATGTGAGCAGTCCTAACGTATTATTAAAGCCTTGCACTGGAGCTGCTGGTTATGAAGCTAAAGTAGCAGATTATGGTACAGCTAAATTGCAACAAGGCACTAGTACTGGTACTGTTATGCCAGGCAATCCAGCATATGCTGCACTAGAAGCTCCTATTCCTGATTATCACAGTCCTGCAATGGATGTCTACAGTTACTCTGTTCTCCTTATGGAAATGACTTTGTGTTCTCCCCCAGAAATGACGACAGGAGAGAGAGAAGTACAATCTGGTAGTGTGTCCTGGTCTGATATGAAGTCTCTCATACAAAGAGGACTTAATGCTAATCCTAGAGCTCGTCCTACTATGGCTCAAGTAATAGAGTCATTGAAAAGGATGAAGATTTGATTAATTGTTTGTATTTTTAATATTCTAATTATTACTGCTGCCTTTTAGTTAGTTTTCTATTATTTTAGACTTTAGTATTATTTTATCCATTTTCTTAATTTGCTTTTCTTTTAAAGACTAATTTAAAACTATTTAGTTCTAGAGACTATACTATGTCCCAACTGAGTTTGGACCAAGAAAAACTGGAATAACTTTTTATAGGAATGTGGGATAAGAATGAGACTTTCACAGGTTCTTAGTCGCCCAATGCCGCTTCAGGATCTCAGGTCTTGGGTCTCTCTCAACCCTTGGGAACCCTGAGAACCGGGTTCCCCCTATAAACCCAATGGCATACCAAAGCTAACCGCAATGACGTTTTATGATGTCATAGTTTACATAAGCACATGTGGCCGGTGGTCTAGCGCCCATTCCGCCCAAACTCAAACTGATAATTCTTCTTTTAAAAAGCTAATAGAGCGTGATCTTCTGATAATGATGGCCTTTATGAAGACTAGCTGACTCCAGGAGCTATTGTACTGCTTATCAGGAAGAACAAGACTGCTTTAAGAGTGAAACAACACAGCCGAAATAGCGGCCATGTCTCTATGAACATCATTATAAGACGTCATTAGTGACGTAGCTACATTTTTCAAATTCCAATGCAGCTGCTTCCACTTCCGGTCCATTCTCAGTTGGGACATAGTATAGTTACATTATGGTTTTTGAGATAAATTTATTAATTAAAATTGTTAATTATTAAACAAAACATTATACATGACAACAACAACAGAAAACAACAATAATAATTATTTTAGGTATTGTAAAGGATAATAGATCAATAGTCATAAAACACTGACAAACTTTGAAAAAATGAGGGAAGGTTATATGAAAAAAATAATTGGTAGCAAAATAAAGAGAATGGTAAGAAGGGTAATGATATCAAAGACAACAACAACAATAATAATAATAACAACTATTATTATTATTATTATTATTATTATTATTATTA